TTCTCTTCTGAAAAATGGGGTCACAGCCAGTGAGAGTGCTTGGCAAATCGCAAAGCTTAGGAAACTGTGCCTTCCCTGGGCTCACCGGCCAGGCAAATGATTGTTTGAGTGACCTGAAGGCCTCGCTCAGCGGTGGGGTCTCTTGAGAAGGGGGTACATGCTTCCCAACTGCCCACCGGGGATGTAAAGTCCACACAGAAGACTCCTTCTCCCCTTCCTCTGTCTCTGCGTCAGCTGTCACTCCACCTGACTGCGTGGTTGGGGGGGGGGAAGGGGGCTCTGGGCAGTGATTCCAGTACCCGAGCCTCAGTACCCTAACCTCGAACCTGGGTGGTACATGGGGCTAGCACCCTTGACCCAGCCCTGGGGAAGGAGAGCACAGGTAGCGTGTCTCCCTGTTGTCCAGGGAAGTCCCATCCCTTAGGACCTGTCCCTTCCCTTCCCCTCCTGCAGGCGGCCACCCTCCCCGGCCTCACCCCCTGATCACGACCTTCAGAAGGCCCTATAGGGCCGGAGCAATAGCACAGCAGGGAGGGCGCTTGCCTGACACGAGGCTAATCTAGATTTGATCCCCAGCTTCACACAGCATCCCCAAGCCCACCAGGAGTGATCCCTGAGTGCAGAGCTGGGAGTAAGCCCTGAGCATCGCCTGGTGTAGCCCCTCCCCCAAACAAAAACATCATCATCGACAAACAAGGCGGTGGGCTCTTGCTGAGGATACAGGCTGGCACATCTTATTTATTTATTTGTTGCTTTTTGGGTCACACCCAGCAATGCTCAGGGGTTACTCCTGGCTCTGCCCTCAGGAATTACTCTTGGCAGTGCTTGGGGGACCCTATGGGATGCCGGGGATCGAACCCGGGTCAGCTGCATGCAAGGCAAACACCCTATCCGCTGTGCTATCGCTCCGGTCCCAGGCTGGCACATCTTAGCTTGGTACTTATATGCCCGGCTGGCCTCTCCCGTGCTGAGTGCAAGCTCAGTGAGTGCCCGAGTGAATGAGGGCATGAGTGAACGGGCTGCTATTCCCGCACAGGCCAGGCAGGGTGGCTGCAACTCTCTGTGGGCAGAACAAGAGCAGGGAGTTTCTGCTGGCCCTCAGCACGGGTGCTCGTACCCTGACCTGGCAGTTCCTTCTACCCGACTCTCCCCTGCACTTATCTCGCTTCCTGCCCACTATCAGAGGAGGGGCAGGTTCCACTGTTTGCGGTCAACACACCCAACCAGCCACCGCGGTGGGACCAAGAGGCCACGTGGAGAATCTGCAGAGGAACGAGATCTAGGGGTGCTGTGGGTGAGTGCAGGGCAGCCTCCCTTAAAGACACAGAGCAGGGGCTAGAATGGCAGTAGAGAGGGCAGGGTGCTCGCCTTGCATGGGCTGACCTGGGTTCCCCGACACTCCATTTGGTCCCTTGAGTCCCGCTAAGCATGATCCTCGAATGCAGAGCCAGGAGTAAGCCCTGTGGTGTGGCCCCCAAACCAAAACAATAAAAATTAAAAAAAAAGACACAGAACCCCCTGCTGTGTGTGTGTGTAAGAGAGAGAGAGAGAGAGAGAGAGAGAGAGAGAGAGAGAGAGAGAGAGAGAGAGAGAGAGGCAGACGTTCTGGTTCAGGGCTATAGTGCTTGGGGGGAGTGAGCCTGTGTGGCTGGACCTCACATTTTTTCTCTACTCAGTCCCTCTGCGAAGCCAGCTTCTCCACGATGCATGGACTCTGGTGGCCAGGCTCATCGACATTGTCTGTCCTAATGCCTTGTGGCGGCACTCCCCATGCCAAAGAGAATCAGGGTTGGGACTGAAGTGATAGTATAGCGGGTAGGGTGTTTGCCTTGCACGCGGCCGACCTGGGTTCGATTCCCAGCATCCCATATGGTCCCCTGAGCATGGCCAGGAGTAATTCCTGAGTGCATGAGCCAGGAGTAACCCCTGAGCATCCCCGGGTGTGACCCAAAAAGCAAAAACAAACAAACAAATCACAAAACCAAAGAAACAACCAACTAAACACACACAAAAAAAACCCAAAGAGAAACAGGGTCAGGGGTGGTTCTCCCAGGGCTGCAGAGGTCATGGCGGCTGAGTGGCTGGATTGATGCTTTCCTCCCTGACCCTGGGGGCCTCAGCTGCAACAGTCAGGGGGCCCGGGTCTCTGGGGGACAGTCTAATAGTGGGTGTGTGTGTGTGTACCCTGCATTGCCAAGTGCCAGCCTCCTCCTTGCGCTGCAGGGCCCAGCATGGCAACCAACCTCACGCAGAAGCCGCTGTGCCCGCTTCTGGAGGAGATGACCCGGGCGCAGAGCCACAGAAACGCCAGCATCCGCTACATGGACTACGCCGCGGTGCTGGTGCACGGGCTGGTGGGGCTGGTGGGGCTGGCGGAGAACGGCCTCATCCTCTTCGTGGTGGGCTGCCGCATGCGCCAGACCGTGGTCACCACGTGGGTGCTGCACCTGGCGCTGTCCGACCTGCTGGCCACTGCCTCGCTGCCCTTCTTCACCTACTTCCTGGCCGTGGGCCACTCGTGGGAGCTGGGCACCACCTTCTGCAAGCTGCACTCCTCCGTCTTCTTCCTCAACATGTTCGCCAGCGGCTTCCTGCTCAGCGCCATCAGCCTGGACCGCTGCCTGCAGGTGCTGCGGCCCGTGTGGGCGCAGAACCACCGCACGGTGCCCGCGGCGCACCGCCTGTGCCTGGCGCTCTGGGCGCTGGCCGTGCTCAACACGGCGCCCTACTACGTGTTCCGCGACACCATCCCGCGCCGCGACGGCCGCATCATGTGCTACTACAACGTGCTGCAGCTGCACCCGGGGCCCGACCGCGACGCGGCGTGCCACGCGCGCCAGCTGGCCCTGGCCGTCAGCAAGTGCCTGCTGGCCTTCGTGCTGCCGCTGGCCGTCATCGCCTCGAGCCACGTGGCCGTGAGCCTGCGGCTGCGCCGCCGCGCGTCCCGGCGGCGCTCGGGCCGCTTCGTGCGCCTGGTGGCCGCCGTGGTGACGGCCTTCGCGCTCTGCTGGGGCCCCTACCACGTCTTCAGCCTGCTGGAGGCGCGCGCGCACGGCCACGCGGAGCTGCGGCCGCTCGTGGTCCGCGGGCTGCCCTTCGTCACCAGCCTGGCCTTCCTCAACAGCGTGCTCAACCCGCTCCTCTACGTCTTCACCTGCCCCGACGTCCTGCACAAGCTGCGGCGCTCGCTGCGCAGCGTGCTGGAGACCGTCCTGGCCGACGACAGCGAGCTGGGGGGCTCCGGGAGCGGCCGTCGGCGCCGCGCGTCCTCCTCGGTCAGCGGCCCGGGCGCCCACGCCGCCGCCACCGCCGCCGCCGACCACGCCGCGCCCCGGTCCGTGCGCCTCCTCCGCTGGCTGCCCTGCGGCCGCGCAGCACCCCCGCCCCGGGACCCGGTGGGCTGCCAGAACGAGGGGGACCCCCTGAACCCGGAGCCGAGAGGCACCTCCGCGTGACACAGTGCACCCACTCCCCCCCAGCCCCCCTGGAGGAGGAAGGTTCGGGTCCCGCTTTTCCCGCCTCGCCGTCGGGGACCGTTCCCCAGACCAAGTCCCCCGGAGCAGCAGCGCTTCTCCTACGACGTTCCCTGCAGACTAGGGTCGCCGGGGGCGATGCGGATTCTGCACTTCAGATCGGCCTTAGGAGGCGGGATTAAACGTTCTCAGAGTGGGACAGGCGTTGAGAGCGCTCGCCTTAAATGCGGTGGGTTCTATACCCCTGGTTATTCCATAGACTCGCCCGGGAATTGTCAGGAGGGAATTCTGAGAGCAGAGCAAAAGTAAAGCCCTGACCGCTGCCCAGTGTGACCCCCTCAAAAGAAAATAAGACTTCTTGAACAAAGGAAGGATTCTAAGGAACCACTTGGGCAGATGATTGGGGGTGGGGCTGGGATAACATTTGATGGGATGGGGGTGGGTTCGGGAAGGGCGGGTGAATGTTCAACCACCAGTATATTTTAGGGGCCAGAAATGGCGATGAAAGGTTTGCAAAGCAGTGACAACTCTGCCTCTTCCTTTAACCATTCTGTCTCAAGGGACAAGCTCATTTGCTCCAATTTTTATTTGGGGTGTTGGGGATATAGGTCACTCCTGGCAGTGCTCATAGGACCATATGCTGGGTCAGGAATCGTGCCAGGTTGGTGGCATGCAAGGCAAGTCGCCCCCTTACCTCCTGTCCTCTATCTGGACCCCATCCAGCTCCAAGCTTCCGGTGTCCAGTAAGCGCGCCAGTCAGCAAGGGAAGGAGCACCCTGGCATGGCCACACTCGAGAGCAGGGCTGCTCAGTGCCTCATTACCATCCACGTTTATGAGGCGGAATGAGAGGCGCCACGATTCATTTGGGGGTGGGGGTACCCTGCTGAACCTCAATAAACCAGACATCTTTACTGAGGTTGACAACCATAGTATATAAACTTGCACCCCAGCACAGGGCGGGTCCTTCCTAGTGTGGCGGACCCCAGAACAGACCCGGAGCTGGGTGAGATCCTGTTGGTGATGCCCAGTTCTACAGCAGCTACTTCCGGACCACATTGGGTTGGGGAGGGGAGGGGGACAGAACAAACAGGGGACACTATCGTGTCCGGTCGGTGGGGCAATGTGGTGGACACGCCATTGCCACTGGACTCTGCCCATCACCTCTACCCTGTGGGGACGGCATGGACAGACTCAATGTCCATCTGAGCTGATGCCATCAATGTGTGTGTATGTGTGTGTGTGTGTGTGTGGGGGGGGGTCAAAACGTTGGAAGAACTGGGAAGAGAGCAGTTGTGACCTCCGTGCACGGGTCCTGGGGCTGCCCTGGCCCCTGGCACGTGCTTGGTGAACCAACAGTGCACCCCGACACCCACCCGTGCTCCCTCCTCCCGCCTTACCCCGTGGTTCATCCTCAACTGACAGACAGGACAATTCCCTTGTTTATTCTTTGCCACCAGAGCGGAAGCTCCACCTGGGGGCGTGGGACTGGAGGCCAGCTGTGCCCTTGGGACCAGTCACGTGCCTTGGTGGGGCAGTGGAGTCAATAAAGGTTTTTTTGCTGTCACCTGGGGTGGGGCAGCACCCAGCTGACCTGGGGGATACCGCGGGGGAAGCCAGAGAGAAACGCTGCCCCCCACAACCTCCTCCTTAGTAATGTCCAGGGAGGGAAGGGTGCTGTTGGCACCAGGCTGTCTGCAAGGGAGGGCTAGGTATTTGCTGGCGGGTCTGGACCGGGCCCAGGAATTTGGGAGCAAACAGCCACGCTTCAGGGGAGCCAACTCTAGTCGCCGACTCTGGGAGACACTAGAATCCACTCGGGGGTGCAGGCACTTGGTGAGGGCGGGGCCGAGCCCGGGGCGCCACCTCTCTCTTCTCTCTGCCTCTGCGGGGTCCCGGATTTCCCTTTGGTCTCGGATCCTGCTGCCCCAGGGTCTCCCTGGCTCAGAGTCCAGGCCGGGGGAGTGTGAGAGGTGGTTCAGGGAGGCCCCTGCTCCCCGGCCCCTCCGACCCTCTGCGACCCGAGCTCAGCCGGTAGCTGCCGGGGCGGCGTTTTCTGCAGCGCGAACAGGGTGTCCCGCTTCTGCACGGAGCGCAGCTGCCGCTTCTTGGCGCGTTTCAGCTTGGCCGGGTTCCGGATCTGGGGGGAGGCGAGATGGGGGCATCAGAGTGGCAGGCCTCTGCCCTCGGCCCCTGGGGAAAAGGGAAGAGGACCCCCGCACCCCATCCCCGCGGAGGGCCGGCGATCCTGGGGTCAGGACACTCACCACCTGCACCACCTCCGCCCTCCGCTCATTCTCCAAGCGGCGCTTCAGGTTCTCGGCACGGCGCTGCTTCTTCTCCTGGAACCAGAGGGCAGGGTTGGAGCTGGCTGGTAGGGGGGATGTTCCCGGGAAGGGAGAGAAACCCCAAGCCCCTGGGCGTTCCCACTGGCAGGGCGGGCAGAACCTGGGTTAATGGCCACAGCGCTCCCAGTGGGAAGTTGCCAAGATGCGGGTCAGATCCATGCAGACTGGGGTATATTCCCAGCTACACCCCAGACAGCCCCTGGGGTCTCCCCTCTCCCTCGAGCTGGGTGCCCCTAAATGCAACGCGCATGGTGAGGGTGGAGCTCTGGAAGTGGCAGGGAAGGGGACCCCCCCTCATTTACATCCCACCCCTGTTCCACTTTGGCAGGGCCTGGAGCCGAGCCCTGGAACCTTTTTGTGCCCTAAACCCAGCCTAGGCCATTGGCTCCGTGGGTCCAAGCGCTTCCGGGCAACCACAGAGCTATGAGCTCAGACCCCCGCACTATCAGAGCGTGACAAGGTGAACCCGGCTCTCTGTTTGGGATTCCCCAGTGAGAGGGACCCCAATGTTGGCCCGGTGACTTAACGCCCCCCAGGGGTAGAGTGTGAGGCCTAGGGATGGTGTCCCCATGATGTTGCCTGGTCCCGGCTGGTCCAGGGTTGGTCTGGATGAATCAGGTACCCGGCAGGGCTGCTGCAGCCCCGTCCTAGCAGTGTGGCCCTCCCAGGTCTCTGCATCTGATGGGGCCTCTCTTTTGCTCTGGTGACTCCGGGGGGGGAGAGGGGAGAGAGGGAGGAAGGGGAAGTGAGCCCTGGGGTGCCTGTGAGGGGAAGGTCTGAAGGAGGGGGCTGGGCAGGGAGCCCTGGGGAGGGGAAATGAGAGGGCCTCTTTGCCCAAGGAACCAGGGTGCCACAGGAAGTTCAAGAAAACCCCACGGCACCCGTCTGCAGGACCCGGAAGGGGGCTGAGCAGGGACATATGACCACAGGGCTGCTGACCCCCACCCTATCGCTGGGTGAGCTTGGGTCCGGGTTGGACAGTCGCTGATCTGGGTGGGCCACTACCTCCCTCTTGGCCTGCTACCCACTGGGCAGGTTCCGGGAAGGCTGGGGGTGGTGGTGGTGGTGGTGGTGAATCTTGGAGGGGGCATTTCTGGCCTGGGGGGCAGTGAGGGGGATGCACACGAGGAAAGGGTCTGCAGTCATGTCACCACCACGTGGGAACACGCCACCATACCTGCCAGCTGGTGCGTGCACCCCAACACCCCCGGGCTCCGTGGAAGGCTGGGCCAGGCTTCCGGCCGGGTTGTCCCTGCCCGCAGCCACCCGAGCCCTCTCACCTCCCGGAGTCGAGCTTTCTCCTCCTCTAGGTGGCGTGCAAAGTCCTTGACCAGCTTCCTCTCCTGCCGCTCTTTCATCTTCCGCTGCCAGGAGGTTCGCAGGGGCTTGTCCTGCACCATGTGGGAGAACCTGGGGCGGGGGACAGGGGAGCTTGTGGGCTCCTTGGTGGGGGGTGGGGGGTGATGGGATCCTAGCCCAGGTCCCATACATGCCTCCAGGAGGCACTCGAGCAGAGCACGCTGGGCTCAGAGGAGAGAAAGAAAGACCCGAAGACCCAAAGCACGTGGCCAGGCAGGAATGACCAGAGTGGTCCACTCCATTTCAGGGGTCCAGCTTCTTTTTTTTGGGGGGGGGGGTAGGCACATCTGGCACTGTTCAGGGCTTACTCTTGGCTCTGCACTCAGAAATCACTCTTGGCAAGGTTTAGGGGATCATATGGGGTGCCAGGGATTGAACCCAGGTTGGCCGTGTGCAAGGCCAGCACCATATCTGCTGTACCATTGCTCTGGCCCTCAGGGGTCCAGTTCTCTGCAGCATCCAGAACCTCTCTCCCCAATATGGGAGACATGAACAGGAAGTGATAATACTTTTTTTGGGGGGAGGCGGGTGTGTGTTCTGGGCTACACTGGCTGTGTTCAACGCTTACTCCTGGTTCTGTGTTCAGGGATCATTCCTGGCCAGGCTCAGGGGGAATCATGTGTGGTAGAAACCCGGGTCAGCTGAGTGCACGGCAAGAGCCTGACCCATTAGACTGTCTCTCTGGTGCCAGGAAACTAATCAGTGACTTGATTAAACGCGCTGATGCCAGTGCTGTATTTTGGGTTCATTGAGCCACATGCAAGGGTGAGCCAAGGGTGAACTACAATTAACTCCTCTGGCCTTATGTGGCCGGTGCTTACGCACTGCAGGTGTGCAGCCTTGGTGTCATCTGGAGAACGAAGGAAGATGCAGACGGGCCTGGAGTTCCAGGTTCCCAGGTCCAAAACCACCACTTCCTCCCGTGGCGGCGGTGAGACAGGCAGTCTCCGAGCCTCTGCAGCTTGTCCGGTTAAAGGGAGACAAGAAACGGGTCCCAACCCAAAAAGGGGATGATGCGAGGCTTCATTCAGACTTCTGTGTAAATGCTGCCCTCCTTCTAGAGGCGGGAGGGTGCCCAGAAGGTGGGTGCTACTGATACAGGAGCTGAGGGGCAGAGCTCCAGGTCACTTTAAATCTCCGCCCATAGAACAGGCAGCCAATCAGAGTGTAGAATGGGATGGCTGGGGGTGGGATTTGGAAGCCCCCAGCCCCGCCGACATCCACCTCTCTCCCCATCTCGCTCACTCTCTCTGGGCGCATGCGCTCTGGACTCTCTTCTCTTCCCGCCCCGGAGCAGGTAGGGCAGTGCATCCAGGCACCGGGCCAGTACCGGCGGGCCACTCAGGGCCAGACAGGTAGAGAGGGCTTGGGTGCTCGGGATAGCCCAGATGCCCAGTTAGTGACAAGGTGCTGAGCACAGGACTCTCACCCACGCGCCAGTGACCGTGGCCGGAGAGTAGGAAAACTAGGAAAACCGGGACTAAAAGAGGAACTGCTGGGGTACAGCTGGGAGACCCAGCGATAGTTGGAAACGCAGGGATTTTGCCTGCGTGGGGGGCTGTGGCCGGAAACAGAAGAAAGCACACACGGGTAGGGAGCAGCGCAGGGACTTGGTCATTGTTCATGGGTAAAGGAGAGGGTTAGGATTAGGACCTCTGGGGAGGGACCTGGAACCATCTACCTTTCCTGTACAATAAACTAACTTTCAGTCTTCCAATCTTGTATGCAAATCCTTCATACAATTCTCAAGAACCCACCAGCTTAGGAGAATCCGCTTTCACTTCACGCTAACACCCCCAGGTCTTCCCAGCTCACCCCCGATTCCCTTTTGCTGGGAAGGGTATCAGGCTGCATAAGCAGCCTCCGCTCACCTGCACTCAGCCACCAGCCACCATCTCCCAGAGGTCCCCAACATCAATGCCTCTGGCTGTCTGGCCCTTAGCCACCAGCTCCTGAAGGCTTTCACCCCGGGCTCTCTGCAGAGCCTGTGCTGGGCTGGGACCAGTAAAAGGAGAAAGTCCACGGACCTCCTGCTCCTTGGAGATGCAATGCCACGGAGCCCGTGGTGACATGGGCCAACCCTCCCTAAAGTGTCCCGCAAGTGTCCCATACACTCTGGGCTGAAAGTTTCTAACGGAAACGGCCACGTTTAAAGTCTAAGGACCTAGGCAGGTCAATGAAACCAGGTTCCTGAAAAACCTTTCCTTGCCCTGGGAGTGGCGATTCTTTTCCACCAATGTGAAAATGAAGTCAAGGAGAGGGTTACGGGGCGTCTGTGCTTTTGATGACCAAGAGCAGGCAGGGCATCAGGCGACAGAGGATGAAGACCTCACAGCTTCCTCTCCAGTAAAGTCCTTGCTGGGCTACATTCCCTACACAGACAAAACTTGGAGCCTTTTGAATGAATTCATACCTGGCTGCTGGCTTTCGGCAGAGGGAGAAGGCGCAACCTTCCCAGTACCCCAACACTTGATCACCGTGTACAACTAACTACCTGTTTGCACCCAGAAAGGCGTGATCTCCATCCCAAAGACTCTCCAGGCAGCCTCCGAGCCCCTCCCCAGGAAGCCCACCCCTGGCTTCTGTACCCCCTTTTCACCTCTTTTTGGAGCGATCCTTCCACACACGCCCCGACTTGGGCTTCCCCTTCGGAATTACGGGCATCTCCTCCTTCTTGGACTTCTTTTCCGCGGGGGCCGGGGCTGCCGACCCTTTCCGCTTCTTTGCCCCGATGTCGTCTGTGGCCACGTCCCGGGCCGGGGGAGGCTTGCGCGGTTCAGGCAGAGCCCGAGGGGTTCCGGGGGACTGGCGTGTCAGCTCCTGCAGAGGCCCCGAGGGTTCCGGACCCGGGGCTGCCTGGCCCGGGCAAGGCTCCAGTGATTCCGAGCCCAGCTGCGCCTCATGTCGGGGGGACCCCGGGCCTGGCTCCGTGCCCGGGTCTTCGCGCACCTCGCATCTCGCCGGGGGCTCCTTCTTTGGCTCTGGCTCCCGCCGGGGGGGATCTGGACTCGATTCTGGTGGTTTTCGGGGTGACTCCAAGCTTGGCTCTTGCTGAAGCTGGGGGGGCCGTGAGCACGGCTCTGGCAGCCTTTGGGGGGGCTTCCGGGATGCACAGTGCTGCAGAAGGGGAGACCCCGGGCTTGTCTCCGGCTGATGTCCGGGGGACCCGGGGTCCGGCTGCCGCAAGCTCCGAGGAGACCCGGGCTCCCTGGTTACTTCTGGATCGCCTGATTCGATCTCCACCAGGGCCCGTTTCACGCGCAGAACTGAGGCGGAGTTCTCAGGGGGCTCCGGCCTCAGACCCTCCAGCCGCCTGCTGCGCCTCCGCGGCGTATCCATGATTCCCAGGAAGGTTCCCAACCCGGGCACACGTGCAGACTCCGGGCGCCCCGCAACTGCCGGCGCCGACTTATGACGTCAAGACTCACCATGGCTGTGCTGGAATGTTGCTGGGGTCGCCATGTTGGTAATGGGCAAAGGGGAAGGGAGGGTGGAAGACTAACGGCCCGGGCGCATGCGCAGAGGACTTTGGCGCTTTTACTTGATAGACAGGCAAGTCCTGACTTGAGATCCTAGGGAAAAAAAGAGCAGTCCCGCACCCCCAGAAGGAATGATGGGGGACCCATTTCTGGAAGAGGGGAGAATTGGGAAGAGATCCGAAGACCCCGAAGCAGAGCTGGCTGGAAATATTAAAAAATCGTTTGGGCTGGGGAGCTCCTCCCCAGTCCTTGCCTGGGCCTCTCATCTGTCACACTTATTGTTTGTAATCAGATGATTTTGCGCTGGCTCAATCTGAAATGACCCCGTCGGAGTATTCCCGAGCACCGGAGTGAGAGTTAGTCACCTGGTGGATCCGAGAGCGGGCCATGCAAAGCCTCCAGTTAGATATTAGTGCCCACGCCCTTGCCTTCTCTCCTCCCATGTCCCGCTTGAGTATCACATCTGTATAGTGCTCCGTTTGCAACACTTTTGTGCAGTTGTACCTTTACCATGCACGCCCCAATTCTAGGAACAGCTTGGATCACCCTGGAGCTCCAGCCTTGACAGTGACCTTTGCCCCCCCCTCCCCCGAGTGTGTTCAGCTTTCTTAACTCCTTTGAGGGCACCCAGGAGGGGATACGTGTCTCTCTTTCACAGCAGGCATCTTTCTTCTTGGAAGACTATTTCAGGAAGCTTCCCAAACCGGCTGACGGTGCTGTTGTTCTTAGATTTGGCCACAAGGGTGTGTGTGTGTGTGTGTGTGTGTGTGTGTGTGTGTGTGTTCAGGGATTTCAGGGATCCCAGAGCCCTAGTTCTGCTGTCCCATGACGTCTGTTCAAAACCCTTTTCTCTCCAGCTGCTTACTTGTGAGAAGGCCTGGGAAGTTGTCCAGCTGTGCTGGGGGCAGTAGAGGAAGGCCAGGCAGGGAGCTCTGGCCACAGGGACACAGCTGAGTGTAACTGGGGTGAGGGCAGGACAGTGGCACCAGGGGCTTGGTGGGTTAGTGGCACAGCTCCACCACTGAGCCACGAATCTGTTGCCCCTGCAGGAATGGAAGTGGAGGATGGGGATGCAGAGTGTTGTGGGTGCTCATGGGTGGGGGAACCCAGACACAGGTCCTGGAGGATGGAAAAGGGGCTTGAGAGTCCCCTGATACTGCCCAGTCCCTAGCAGGTGCCATCTAGCATCCAAACTGCACCCCGGCGAATTCCACCTGTTGAAATCCCTTCCTTAAGGCAAGATGGCAGCATGGTGATGGTGCCAACCTTCCTATATAGAGTTGGAAATAGTCCCAGGGCTGCAGAGAGAGTTCAGGGGTTAAGGCACTGGTCTTGCAAGCTGTCAACCTGGGTTTGATATCCAGTACCACATATGATCCCCTGAGGCTTGTGCCATTTCCCCACTCTTTTTGAGGTGTTTTCTGGGGGTTATTTTCTGAATCTGGGCTGGAGCGTTAGCACAGTGCTAGGGCGTTTGCCTTGTAGGCAGCCAATATGGCTGACCCGAGTTCGATTCCTCCACCCCTCTTAGAGAGCCTGGCAAGCTACCGAGAGTATCTTGCCTGCACGGCAAAGCCTGGCAAGCTACCCGTGATGTATTTGATATGCCAAACACAGTAACAACAAGTCTCACAATGGAGACGTTACTGGGCCCGCTCAAGCAACTCGATGAACAATGGGAGGACAGTGACAGTGACAGTGATTTTCTGAATCAACTGACTGTTGGTTCACTGCATCCCTTATCTCTGAATCTGCACTCAGCCTCCAACTCTCAAGCTCCGTGCCAGAACACATGCAGTTAACCCTCACAAGTTCTATTGTTATTCCTCCCATCTCACACAGAGGCTGGGACTCTTGCAAGAGAGAGCTAGCAGTGGAGGGAGCTCCCCGGACCCCCACCACTAGGCTATCAGACTGCGGAGACATGGCCCCTCAGAGCATCTCTCCTTGGAAGCAGGAAAGGGGACTGAGGCCAAGAGAGGCTGAGGTGCTTGCTCAGCATCACACAGCACCACAGGAAGGAATCTGGATGACGATGCTGGGCCAGGCTGCCCAGCTGCCTTGCATGTGCCCCTCTCATGGGCTTGTGCCTCTCTTGGATCTTGCTCTGAATGCTGGGAAGGCCAGCGATGGCTGTGCGAGTGCAAGCAGGCAGAACTGCTGGGTGGGCACGCGGGCTTCCGTAGTAACCTGAGTCAGCGGACGGCAGGAAGCGCTGTTGCCACAGGTGGCCAGAGATAGGACTCAGATGCACATCTTGGAACCCTGATCCTGTACTCAGCCCAGCTGCTGCCTGTGAAGCATGTCACGGTCCTCAGATGCTGGGGGCCTGTGTGCCCAAGACCTGGGCAGGGGAAGGGAGCCTGACAACTTCCCCAGGAACCCAAGGACTGATTTATAGCCCACATTTATTTTAGCTTTGCTTTTTTTGGCCACACACAGCAGTTGCTCAGGGCCGATTCCTCTGTCTGTGCTCAGGGATCACTCTTGAGGGTTTCAGGGATCAAATATGGCTTTGAAGATGGAACTTGTGTCAACCGTGTGCAAGGCACGCACCCTGCCCGCTGCCTCTCCGGCCCACCATATCCCACATAAGAGCGAGAGCTTTCTGTAGCTGGCCCTCTCCTGGCTGACTTTATTCAGATCCATCCATGTAGTTGTAAATTACTTGATTTCATCTTTTTTTTCATAGCTGAGTAGTATTCCATTGTGCATATGTGCCTGTTTCTGTATCCAGTTGCCTGTTCTTGGACCCATGAGTTGTTCCCAGATTTTGGCCATTGTGAATAGTGCTGCAATGAACGTAGGAGTCTTTTCCGAATCGAGTTCTTGGATTCTTTGGGTCAATACCAAGAAGTAGGATTGCTGGGTTACAAGGAAGTTCAATTCTTGGTTTTGTTTTGTTTGGGGGCCATACCCCAGTTGTGCTCAGGGCTTCCTTCTGGCTCTGCGCTCAGGGATCACTCCTGGAAGGACTTGGGGGATCATATGGAATGCTGGGGATTGAACCTGGGTCAGCTGCATGCAAGGCAAGCACCTTATCTGCTGTGTAGTATCACTCCGACTCCCTTAATTCTTACTTTTTTGAAGAGCGACCACATTGTTTTCCAAAGAGGTGGGTTGCATCAGACTTGAGCTCCCCTCAGATCCTGCTCTCTTCTCAATTTATGCTCCTCCCCCTTTCCTACGGGCTGGAGCGCTAGCACAGTGGTAGGGCGTTTGCCTTGCGTGCAGCTGGCCCGGCCAAGCCGGGTTCGATTCCTCCACCACTCTCGGAGAGCCTGGCAAGCTACCGAGAGTATCTCGCCCACACAGCAAAGCCTGGCAGGCTACCCGTTGGCGTATTCAATATGCCAAACACAGTAACAACAAGTCTCACGATGGAGATGTTACTGGGCCCGCTTGAGCAAATCGATGAACAACAGGAGGACCGTGACTGTGACCGTGACCCCTTTCCTACGTGTTGTGGCTGGCTAATCCCTGGCCCCTGGCCTGTGTGAATGTGCTCAGGACAGGGTCAGCAGGACAGTGCTTATCAGGAGGTTATCTCACAGGTTCATTTCTCTTAGTCATCCCCATGGCCCACAGGGAGTTTCAGGTCTTCAAAAGGCAGGACAGAGACCTCAGCATGGGGTGAGGGGGCAGAACCTGTGAGCTTTGGTGGGAGGCTCTTCTGGAGGTGCTGCATGAAAATTCCAGGTGCAGAGATGATGCCTGCATGAAGAAGGGAGCTGCACAGGCTTGTGCATGCGTGCATACCTGCAGTGCTTATCTCCTGGGCCCCTGGCTGCAACTGCTGGGTTTGCTCAAACAGGAAGGGGAGAAACCAGCTACCCCAGCCTGAGCCCATGACTCTGCCTTCTTTCCAGCACGCTCTCTGGCCCTAACCAGGCCAAGGGAAGGGTGGGAGATTGTGGTAAATTGCTCCCCCTTTATAAACCCCAAAGTCAGGATAGTCCCCTGTGTCAAACTAGCTTCGATAGATTTTTGTTTGTTTGTGTTTTGGGCCCTCCCGTTGATCATCGATTTGCTCGAACGGGCCAGTAATGTCTCGAACTCGGGTCGGCCATGTTGGCTGTGTGCAAGGCAAACGCCCTACCGCTGTGCTTTCGCTCTGCTCCATAATAATAATAATAATAAAAATAATAAAATAAACGAGGGCTGGAGCGATAGCACAGCGGTAGGGCGTTTGCCTTGCACGCAGCCAACATGGCCGACCCGAGTTCGATTCCTCCGCCCCTCTTGGAGAGCCCGGCAAGTTTCCGCACGGCAGAGCCTGGCAAGCTCCCCATGACGTATTCGATATGCCAGACACAGTAACAACAAATTCTCCAATGGAGACGTTACTGGGCCCGCTCGAGCAAATCGATGATCAGCGGGAGGGCCTTTACCTTTACTTACTTTACTGTGTTTTGGGCCATACCTGGTGGTGCTCAGGGCTCTGCATTCAGGCATTGTTCCTGGAAGGGCTTGGGGGAGCCTCTGTGGTGCCATGGATCGAACTTGGGTTGGCTGTGTGTAAGGCAAATGTCCTACTCACTGAACTATTGCTCTGGCGTGTTCAAGCTTAGATGTATGATGTTTTTGCAAATGGGCATCCAAGAAGGAGAATTCCTGCTAGAATAGAATGGGAGATGGCCATGATTTCATTGCTGTACAAAAAGGAACTTGCTGGTTGTTTAGCATCCTATGGGCGCAGCTATGTAAACATCCTGGCCTTCATTCTTTATTTTTTCAAATTTTTATTAGTGAAACACTATGAGGTACAGTTGTAGACTTACAAATTTTTGTGCTTTTCTGAGTCTCTGGGATCATGGCCATTAAGCAGCTTGATCAGGAGCCAGAGAGGCCGTATGTGGGCAGTGACCCGGGGTCTCGTTGGGGCGGGGAGGAAAGGGCTGGCTCCACCCCCATC